GATGCACTGCATGTGCATCGATGCACCTTAAACAATTTCTGGGATTTATAATCGATGCATCGGTGCACAATGAATGTGCATCGATGCACATTGCCCAGAATTTTCATTTTAGCACGAAAATCTCTTCTTAGTCTACTTAACACTTTATATTTCCCTTCTTTATATATCCTTAACTTGCATACTCTTACTTAAACTAATTATTATTCATTCCATACTTTTGAAACTTAAAAATCCAATTCTCTATGTAGAATTTAAGAATCTAACCCAAATTCTAACATGTTCTAATTTGAATTCTAACACCTCATACTTCTTAGTTAGCTTTATAACAAGTCAAATTCCACTTCTAATTCTTATTAGGAACTCTAATCCAAGATTTCACTTTTCTACTTCCTTTTTTTGATTCTTCATATTCTCCTCATCTTATGGTTTTAAGATAATCTAAGCTTTCCTTAAGCTTAGTTATCAACTAAGGATCAATAAGAAACCTTAAATCCATCAAGAATTTAATCAACAAGAAAACTCACCTTTAGCTTGGTCTCTCGATGGAGAAGAAGAAGTGAAGAATAAGAGAAATCTGGAAACTTTTGTTCTCTTCATTTGCCTTTCACGTGGATTTAAATATCCTCATCTAATATTTAATTATTTCCCCTATTAAAAGACTCCTTTACCCCTTTAGTTCCTCCTTCTTTCTTAATTGATCCTACACAAAACATTCCCATTAAATCTTTCAACCATTCAATTTATCTACTTTGGTCACTGAATTTTATAATTTCACAATTTGATCACTAACCCAGTATGGAGGATGTTACAATGTGTGCTACATTGGACTTACATCTAGAGCAGCTAGATGTTAAAACAACTTTTCTTCATGGAAATCTTGAAGAAGAAATTTATATGCTCCAGCCTGAAGGTTTTGAAGAAAAAGAAAATAAGAACTTGGTTTGCAGGTTGAACAAATTTATGTACGGTCTAAAGCAGGCGCCGAGGTGTTGGTATAAGAGATTTGATTCCTTCATTATGTGCCTTGGATACAATAGACTTAATGCTGACCCTTGTGCTTATTTCAAGAGGTCTGGTGATAACGATTTTGTTATATTGTTATTGTATGTGGATGACATGTTGGTTGCAGGACCCAACAAAGATCATATTGAAGAATTGAAGGCACAACTGGCTAGGGAATTTGAAATGAAGGACTTGGGATCGGCAAACAAGATTCTAGGGATACAAATTCACCGAGACAGAAGTAATAGGAAGATTTGGCTTTCACAAAAGAATTATTTGAAGAAGATGTTGTCACGATTCAGCATGCAAGATTGTAAGCCAATTTCTACCCCTCTTCCTATTAACTTCAAATTATCCTCCAGTATGAGTCCTAGCAGTGAAAAAGAGAGGATTGAGATGTCTCGAGTGTCGTATGCATCAGCAGTGGGAAGTTTAATGTTCGCTATGATATGCACAAGACCAGACATTGCACAAGCAGTGAGAGTGGTTAGTCGGTACATGGCGAATCCAAGCAAAGAGCATTGGAATATAGTAAAGAGGATCCTGAGATACATCAAAGAGACCTCAAATGTTGCATTATGTTACGGAGGATCAAACTTACTAATCAATGGGTATGTAGATTCTGACTATGCAGGCGATTTGGATAAAAGCAAATCTACTACAGGATATGTGTTTAAAGTTGATGGTGGAGCTGTAAGCTGGGTTTCAAAATTGCAGTCAGTTGTGGCTACATCCACAATAGAAGCAGAATATGTAGCAACTACACAAGCCAGTAAAGAAGCAATTTGGTTGAAGATGCTATTGGAGGAGCTTGGGCACAATCAAGAGTATGTCTCTCTGTTTTGTGACAGTCAAAATGCCTTGCATCTATCAAGGAATCCAACATTTCATTCAAGGACAAATCACATACGAGTTCAGTACCATTTCATTCGTGAAAAGGTGGAAGAAGGGACAGTAGATATGCAGAAGATCCATACCAAAGACAACATAGAAGATTTTATGACGAAGGCGATCAACGCTGATAAATTTACCTGGTGTCGATCCTCCTGTGGCCTGTCAGAGACGTAAGCAACATGAAAGGTACAAGGTAGAAAGAATTGTGTGAAGATATGATTGTTCCAATCAAATCTTCAAGTGGGAGATTGTTGAAAGTCAAAAAGGGAGAAAGAAACAAATGGGGCGGCTTGGCAGTATTAAGGGCGGCTAATGTTAGTCAAATTTGACCACCAAATTTGATAAAATAATAAAGGGTAAAATACTCAATTTAGTCACTTTACTTTTAGGGTATTTACAAGATTAGTCCTTAAGGCTTCAACTATAAATACCCTACCTCATTTAGCTTCAAAACCATCCCAAAGCATTCTAGCTTTCTTCCAATACTAGAGAGAATATTAGAGAGTTTCTTGAGAGTTGTTTTTCTCCTTTTTTTTATCAAGAGAGAATTATCATTGTTTTCTCCTTGGTCGATCGAGAGAAGTTGTAATTCCTATTTTCTCATAGTAAAATTCTTCTACCGGTGCCCGTGGTTTTTACCCTATATTATTTAGGGGTTTTCCACTTAATTTTGTGTCTTCTTTATCTTCATTTTATTTTCTCAAATTATCAGTTGCGATTTTGCTCTATCCGATAGCCGTCTTCCGCAACAGTCGGGTGGAGGGTATATATTTTTCGGGTCAGATCGGATTGACCGAAAATCCAACCCGACCCGATCCATACTCATCCGTAGACGTAAACCAGAATTGTAATATGAACACAAATCCACACAAAATGATGGGATCAGAGAACCCATAATGATTTCATTGCATAAATATTCGATTCCCTTGGACTTTATCTAACGCTAAAATTATATAGTTTTCAACTAACTGCATGATTCCCATTTCCCAAGTCTTATATTTGCTGTTCTTTTTTTGGCACTTTTTATCGCGTGGATATGGAGTAAATTACTTGATGGCAAGATATGTGCTGTGATTGTATGAATTAATACTCGTAATTATTATGATCATAAATGATTAACGTAAAGTCTCAGCTTTCTCAACTTCTAACTTGAAACCATATGCACAGGCCAAAGTGGAGGGACCAGAAGATTGCGTGTTTACTTTCAATTTCTTTTCTTATAGTGTGTATATGAAAATGCATTGATCATGCCTGATAGGCCAAGTCTTTTTTTCAGCAAATTCACATTAAAAACATTCATTGCTTGCCCTCCCAGCAGTTCAGCTGCGTGGGTTACGCGCATCTAATACAACCTAAAGCATATGCATTGATTGCTCTTATATAAAGGGGACGTTACCATTTAGGCTCTTGATAAGAGAATGGGGAATTGGTTTGGGAGATCAAAGCTGATGGTGAAACTGTTCGAGACCAGAAAGAACTCGGATTCGATGTCAAGTCCTACGAGGATCAAGGTGCGCATGACGAAGACACAACTCAAAGAGCTCAAGGCACATGCTGCGGATACTAGCAAAGGGAAGTCGGAACTCGGTCAGTTGATCATCAAGGAATGTTTGGAAGGTAGATTGTCTCCTCGTGTTGTTGTTGTTGGACAATCTCATTGTGTATTGGAGAATTCAAGATTGTGGTGTTCGAGTTTGAGAACTATTACCGAAGAAAGGATCTGAAATGAGAACTGTAAGGAAAATTTGGGTTTGTTGTCAGTTTTTTTTTTTCAAAAACAAGATGTAAACATTAGGAAGAAGAATGTTGAATTCCTTGTGATCCGAAGGACACCATGTCCTATTCTTGGGGTCGCATATGCATTATTAATGTTAACAATTTAATTGATAAGCTTATCCAGGAGAATTCGTTTGGCCTCTCCTAGTAAGTGGGAAGAATTCAAATTGGGGCAAGACAGCAAAGTATGCATCTGCAAGCTGAACCAAGTGGAAGCACTAAAGCAAAACATTACCTTTAAAAGATATCATTCGAAGCAATCATTTGCTCTCTCTTAATCTTCGCAAATTTGGGGCTAATACTCAATTCAGAACATAAAGATATTCCAGTAATGAACCTCTAAGATATTTAATTCGGATTAATCGATGAATAAATTGAATACAAATGATAAAAATACTTCTCAAAGTCTGATCACACATCACTCAAACGCAAATCTGGGATGGTTTGTAATAGGAGACAAAATTCCCAGTTTATCAAATGAAAAACAATGGGTGGCTGGCTACCTAAGGTGGTAAGTTATTTGAACTGTTACCCCTAAAATTTTATTCACTACCATCATCCAAAGTAATTAGCAATCATTATTTTCGTCAATAAGAAAGTAGAGAGAATTTAGAAAGTTGTGCCAGGAAATTCTGGTCTACCTAACATTAACCGCAATACATGTACTTTATTATTGGGTTAAGGGAAATAGCTGCTGCAGGCTGCAGAGGAATGGAGTTGAAGACAAAGGAAATACATTTACAATAAAAGAAATAAATAGGGAGAGAAAGTCAAGGGGTTTTTTGTATGAATTGAATCAATGATACGTCAAGCAAAGACCCACAAATGCCAGAAACAGAACGTGCAATAATATCAGTGAGGGAAATACAGCGAAGCAGATGATAAACCAAATGTACATGTAATATTTAAGGAAATTTATATATGTCATTTTTTTCCTTCGTCCAATACAAAAGGTTGGGTCTTTGGTCTTTGATTTTATATATATTTTTTCATTGAACAACCTTGCCTACTGCTGTCGTGTGTGCCCACTAGCAGCTTTTCTGTCTTCACCTCCTCCTTCCTTTATCACCCTTCTTTGTGGTTCGTCCTCTCGACAGTAATGATTTTTCTCGTTAAAGTTATAGTTAATTTAAGAATCTGAGGAGTTTTTGTTGTGGAAAAAGTTGTAGTTACAGCCTCAGCATTAGAAAAATCATACAGAGGAACAAGAAACTCAACAACAAACAAACAAAAACAGAGTTTTGCTTTGGGTTTTGATTTGATATGATCATCTAAACAAATCGTTCTATCAATTATCAAACTCCCTTTTGTTTTTTTTAACCTCTCTATATTTGGCTTCTGGGTGGTTTGTTTTGTTTTGGCTTGCCCTGTTTTATTCGGGGGACTATGCTCTGTTTTCTCGTTTCCATGTCTCAACCAAGCAATTTCAAATGGTGGGTGGTAACAATCCAGGGAAGTACAATGACTCAACATTTACAAAAATATTTGTTGGTGGATTGGCTTGGGAAACTCAAGGGGATAATACCATGGGGCGTTATTTTGAGCAATTTGGAGAGATTCTTGAGGCTGTTGTTATCACCGATAAGAATAGCGGGAAATCCAAGGGTTATGGCTTTGTAAGCTTATGGCTCCCTTTATGAAGTGCATTCCCTTCCCCTTATCCATGTTTTTACAATAAAAAGCACAAATCTTTGTGTGTTTCTAGGTTACTTTTAAAGATCCAGATGTAGCTTTAAGAGCTTGCCAAAACCCTTCACCTATCATCGATGGAAGAAGGGAAAACTGCAATCTTGCTTCATTGGGTGCTCAAAAGACCAGTCCACCAACTCCTCAACATGGTTTGTTTTCGTTTCATAATGATACTGCAGATGTTGAAATTTCAAAAGCCCATTTTCATTCATTATAAAGATGTACTTTTTTTCACTATATTGGGGCAAAATCATCTTTGTTTAGTTTCAAAATGAAGATCATGAGTCAAATGCTGGGGTTGGACGGTTTAGATCAGCACCTGGTTATCATGGTTCTTCATCTACTTATATCCAACAACCTTCTGGTCAATATTTAATCCCTTACTCTTCATATGGGTGAGTTCATTGTTTGTGGAAAATGAATTCCTATGGCATTTCCTTTTAATCTTGCATTTCAGTGTTTTCGATTGTCATATTGATTCGGTTTCATCATGAATGTTCACTTTCAGATACACTGCATATTCACGAGACAGCGTTTATCTTTTGGTTAGTGTGTAAAAAATACGAACAGATATGCTGCAGCAGTTCTTTGACATTGCTTTGAGCTGAATTTGATGGTGCTTGTGCAGAACTATTATAATCTCTATGGAGGCCAGTACTTTTCACCCTATTACACTATGGGGGCATCGATGACACCGAGGATGTTTCATAATGTTTATCCAATTTGTCCACAAATGGTACCATATCCATATTTGCCTCAACAGCATAGCTCGGGAGTCGTATCACTTCCGTATTCAATGCCTATGACAGCAACTACTGCAGGTGATTGTTTTCTACAACCTTCAAATTCATTCATACTGTACTTTTTACCATAGTTTTCAATCAGTTGGTCTCTGGAAGTTTTGATCACAGACAAAATATAAAGCAGGTAGTGCACCAGCAGCGGCGGTGGCGACGACAACAACGACAACAGCAGCTATTGAGATGGGGGAAAGGATCCAGGTCCTTCACGAGTTTCCGAGAAACCTACTGAAAAGAAACCATCAAGTTAATCCATGTTGAGGTAGACACTGTCTTTTACTCTGATATCTTTGATAAACGAGATTAAGGTCGATAAAAAAGGAAATAATCCGGATACCACCTAGAATAACAAGAGATGGAAATCAAAGAAACTTCAGCGGGAGGATTATTATCTATTAACCATATTGGACAATAGGATGTGTCATTATCATCATCTTTTTTCTTAAGTCATCATTTCATCATACATGTAGTTTGGTGTTAGCATTAGGTTTAGGAGACGATATCATCATCATATTCATTCATGTATTTTGCACATAGGTGGAAACTAAACATTGTTCTTTTGATTCCACCTTTATACAAGGGTTATTCAGATGATTCTGTCTCGGTTGCAGAGAGCATCCGATGACGGCGTTGTTCATATCTGTATCAAAAGTGGTTCAGAAGATTGGTTTTGTATCTTTGAACCCAAATTTCATTGATTGGCCAATCAAAAAGAATAAAAGGGTAAGATCGGGATAGCTCACCCCTTTCATTTTCAGTGAGCATTATGTTTTGTTTAATCCATCAAATAAATCAAATGCATCCTTTTCCCACGATCATTCACTTTTGGGGTTTCGATGCAAGCGGTGTACAATCGAATCCAAAGCCTAAAGGGACCTCAAATCTCACAGAAAAAAGGTCAATGGTTGAAGGGTTTACCTTTTCTGTTCTTTTTTTTGCTTGTCTCATTGTCAAGGAAAGCATGGCAGTTTCTGGATTCTGCTTCTTCCATTTCAATCAAAAGCCTGGGAAATGCTTTCTTCTCTAGGGACGATGAAAAAAAAAATAACGGTCAAATTTAATAAAGATCCTTGTACTTGTGTGTGAGCAAAACTCGATTGATTCGAATATTATTTGAATCTATTTTTAAAAAATTCAAATAAAGTTTGAATAATAAAAGTATGAGTGGAAAACTCAATTAATTTAAAAAAATTAAGTTAATTCACCTCGATTCGATCATATTCACGTCTAATTCTTCTTTATTTTGAATAAGAAAGGAGGCAAAAGCCAATTACAATAAAATATTACTAGACCTCAAATATGGAGGTCCATAAAATCACGATGAAGCTGATTTTGCAAGGTAGAAGGGGCATCAGGAAAAATGCAGATGGATCCATTTGTATTGACTTCTGTCTTGGCAAGAGAGTCGGCTATTGAGTTGGCTTCACGTTTGATTAGCTTGAAATCTATCCACCAGTTTCGAGAAGAGAATTGGAGAATCATGTGAAGGAGAGTTAAAGGGAAAGGACGATGGAGCAGCAGAAGTTAGCAAATTGTAGACCACAACATTGTCTATTTGACATTGGATTTTAAATCCATTTTTGAAATTGATATAATTGGTTGGAAGTGCTAATTTTTTTAACTAACTTAATAATTTAGAGCGATTTGAGTGGATATTTTTGCAAGAAAAGGTATCAGAGTAGAAAAAAGTATAATTTAGGAGACAATTTGTTAACTAAACCTTCTAGTTACTGAGGGCTCATTTCAAACAACGGGCCAAATGGTTCACTGGGCCACAGAAATCTCATGATCCCCAGATTAACTCTCCTCTTATAAAACCCATCTCTGAAACCCTAAGCTTTGAAACACCTGCTTTTAGTCAGCGCTGCACGGCTTTCCCAGGAACTCATAACTCCCATATTTTGTCTCTCAGGTAATTCATATGCCTTTTCATCAGTTTTTCTTGTTGCTTCTTCGGGTGATTGTTTCTTTCAATAAATCCTCAAGAATTTCCTTTCCACTTGTATTCTCGTTATTACTGTAAATCTTTATCGTATGTGTTTTAATTGCTTTATTTATGCATTATCTATTTGTTTAGTGTTAATTGTGAAACGATGTCTTCGGTTGGAGAAGCTGCTTGCTCCTACGCTGCTCTTATTCTTCATGATGATGGCATCCCCATCACTGTATCCTTTATGAATATTAGGGTTTTGATCTATAATAAGAAGGGAAAAATTAAAAATTGATTACTGTTTTTAAAAGAATGAGGGATTCCCCAGATGCATGAGAATACGGTTTTTTTAGTTTACCTTGATTATAGATGCATGAGAATACGGTTTTTTTTGTTTACCTTGATTATAGTTTATATAGGCTGAGAAGATTTCAACACTAGTAAACGCTGCGAATGTCTCTGTTGAATCTTTGGAAGCTTGTTCGCTAAGCTTTTTGAGAAGTGCAACATCGAAGATCTCATAACCAATGTTGGAGCTGGTGGTGGTGGTGCCCCAGTTGCTGCAGCTGCACCTGTTGCGGCGGTGGCGGTGCTGGTGCTGGTGCTGCTCCACCTCCTGCAGAGGAAAAGAAGAAGGTGGGACTAAAAATTACAAATAAGCTAGTGTAACTTATTTCTCCCCTGACCATTTGATTCTGATATTTGTTTCTTTGGTCATTTTGCAGGAAGAGCCAGAGGAAGAGAGTGATGATGATATGGGATTCAGTTTGTTCGATTAGGGTCTCCTTTGCTGTGATTTGGTCCAATTACTAGTTATATTGCCTTAGGTAATTACTGTTATGAGTAATTAGAGGTGTTGTGTTTTTTAAATGAGATGACACTAAGTTGTTCTTCCTTTGCAAGTTGTACTACTTTTTGAATCTTCCTATACATATAAGTATTCTGGGTTCTAGACCGTTTTTGCTCGTGCTTTATTCCATTTCGATGCATGCTTCTATCCGCAGTTCATTGGTTGTCGTCGTGTATTTCCTTGTCTTAGTTTACGCTGAGAGTTGGTAATGTGGTTCTATGTCTATATTTCATTGTCTGTGGATCATTTAGTCATAGAGAGCAACTGACATCTCCCATTGTATCTGTTGTTGCCGGCACTGTTGATCCAGGGGCCAAGGCTACTTAATGCTTGAATGTGTTGCTCTCATTAGGTTGTCATCTTTTTGTTTTTATTCCTATTGGTAAAATTCACGATTCCTTTACTGGAAATTCCCGGTATTGATGTATCTGAGAATTGCCAAGTTATATATGTTCGTTGAAATAGTACTTAAGCTTCACATCCCTCATCTTATTTAAGAGATATAGTTTCTTATTTTAAAATTTGTAATCAAATAAGTCTTTTAAATTTGATAGAGTTGGTATAGTGAAATATTTCAACTGATTTTTTTAAAATTATAATTAAATATATCTTGATTATAGAATTTTTAAATAATGATTCAATTGATATGTCTTTCTAATTTTAAGATTTTAATTTAGTTTTAAAATTATTGTATTAATCAGTCCTTTGATTGGTTTAATCACTAAGTTTGAAGTAAATCCGATTCAAAATATATTTAACCTATATAAATTAAGTTTAGTGCCAAGACGGTTCTTCAAGCGATTCCAGGATATGTGTTTCAATCGGCATGGATCCCGAAAGGTGTTTGTGATGATATGGAGAAAGCTATTCGATGTTTCGTGTGGGGTTCTACCGATGAAAAGCGTAAGATAAACCTGATAAATTGGCCTACTATGCAAACATTGAAGATGGCAGATTAGATTTCAGAGTTCTTCATAGAAAATGTGGTATTTCTTATGAAGATTGGGTTTAAGCTTATTTTAGATGACGGTAGTCTATGGGTGAAAGTGTTGAAAGCCAAGTACAATTGGGAAGGACAAGTACCCATTTCCATTGCTAAAGTGAACTGCTCATGTTTGTGGTCTGGGTTATGTAATGTGTGGGAAGAGGTTCGACTAGGGATTAGGTGCAATATCCGCAATGGTAACAAAACAGATTTTTGGTATGATCCTTAGGTTGATAAAGGGCCTCTATGGGTTCATTGCCTTCATAAGGGGCAACCGATTCCCACACCAGTTGGCAGTTGAGTCACAGATGACGGGTGTTGGGATAAAGGAAGGCTCCAGGCTGTATTACCAGCAGATGTTATAAGGCGAATTGAGGCAATGGTACCACCACGAGAGGAGTTAGGTGAAGATATTCCAGGATGGAGATGGGAAGAGAAACAACATTTTTCTACTAAATCGGCATATTATGCAATATCGAGGAATGGCGGGTCTTCCAAAGACACTTTCTGGGAAAAAAAATTTGGAAAATGAAGGTTCCTCAAAGATTTCGGGTATTTCTATGGTTAGTGAGACACAATCAACTAATAACAAACATGGAACGGCATCGCAGGCATAATCTTCGGAGGTGCAATGTCCAATTTACAAAGAGAACGAAGAAGATATAAACCATGTACTTCGGGGATGTACGCGCGAAACAGGTTTGGAAGCAAATAATTAAGCCTACTAAATTGCAAGAATTTTATTCTATGAATGTTGATGTATGGCTAAAAGTAAACATTGATAGACCAGATTACTTTGATGGTGAGGTGCTTGAATGAGATTTATTGTTTGCAATTATCTGCTGGTCATTGTGGAATAGAAGGAACAGGTGGATTTTTTATGAAGATTATGTGGAAACTGTTCCATTATTGGATAGTTTGCTTGAAGATGTATCAAGAAGTGAGAAAGGTGGCTGCAAATTGTGATATTGTTGTAAAACCAGCAGTACACAACGAGTCAAATATGTGCAAACGAAAGAAACCTCCTTTGGGTTGGGTTAGGGTGAATGTTGACGGTGCAGTCAGGGAGAGAGATTTTTTTTTTTGGAGCTGCTGCTTGTGGTGGGATTATTCGAAATGATCAGGGTGAATGGATCTTTGGGTTCTCGAGAAGTCTGGGAGTGTGTTCTCCATTCTGGGCTGAACTTTGGGCACTACATGATGGATTGAAGCATGTGTGGAGCTTGGGGTTTCGAAAGATCGAAGTGGAAACAGATAGCTTGGAGATTTGTAATCTTTTTAATTTGGAACCTCTGGTGATGCAAGGAAATGCCATTGTAGATGTTGTTCGTGTTCTATTGCAACAAGCGTGGGAGGTGAAACTGCATCATGTTTGAAGGAAGAACAATCAAATTGCTGATGTTATGGCAAAGATGAGTCGGGGTCAACCTGTGAGAGAAATCCTATTCGATGAAGCTCCAATTTTTATTGCTAATTTGATTGCACAAAGATGTATTAAAAAGATAGAATTTTACTACTAGTCTGTA